GAAAGATATACATATGCCATGGGCGAATAACAGAGACTTGACAAAAGCCACCTGGCCTGAGAAGAAAACAGCAGCTAATGTAAGATTCCATCCCAAACGTCTCACCTCTCAAGATTGTCCTTTGCTTTGGGATGTGGTTACTGTGGTCTAATTAACTTAACATGAATTCCATACAATGACTACATTAGGAGCATTTTGCCAAGTTTTTTATATACATTGAATGATCACCACAGCACTGAGAGATGGGAAGCAAATCTAAGCTGGGATAGGTGGAAGGGACCATTGGGAAGTTATTAGCTGCTGCTGAATTGGCCCCTTAGTCATGGCCATCTCATGCTGGGTTTTTGGTTTGTAATTAGGCCTGACTTTTGGTCCTGGTTGGTCTTATTTTGTAAGCTCAGCTGAAATCTGTTCAGCATCCTAGCAACATGCAGACCTCCCCTGACAGAGGGCTGGTGGCAAGTTTCCTATACCTACTTGAGACATGGTGTCTTTACAAGGTAGAAACATAGAATTTACCTTACAGTTAAGTGGTGCTGTAAGTCCCATAACACGTTACAGATCTCTAGTGAAGGTTGCTCTTCTGGTCTCCCATCACCTTTTGACTCTAGATTCTTTGCCTTCCCCAGGATGTCAGTCTCAGCAGATGAGGCTGTGCAGTTATGCCTCAGAACACCTTTGCTCAGCAAGACAGTAAGCCCTTTGAGAACGAAAACCCTCTCTCATTTATGTCTGCTCCTCAGCGTGTCATGGAAATATATATGAACCGAAATGTCAAGTTTCAGGTCAAGAAATATTCAGAATGTCCAAAGAGCTTTTTCCCCTGTAACTCATGGCTCCCAACATAGCTCCCATGCACATGTCTTTGTCTTCATTTCTGGGACCGTTGACTCCCTGTCCTTGATCCCTCTTTTATGTAATGGAATTGTAACCATGTCAGAAGAGCCCCATGGCTGCTCCAGCTGTGAATGCCTGTGGGTGTCCTCTGAGACTGTCCATGGTGTTAGTGATCAGGCTGTTTCCTATACGTTTAGAGTGCTGATACGGAGCCAGATCCTCGGTCCTCTGAGCTCTGTGGATAATGAGATTCTACCCCCTCTCAACCCAGTTTATGCCTAGTCATTCAGTCAATGTATACAGAGAACTGTGTTTAAAATCATTGGGAATTTTTTACTCTTTTATTTCTTTCTTACTCTGGGATCTACATATTTGTCTACTGCCACATTAAGAGTCCCTATTCTGATGTCCAAGAAGCATCCAAGTAGCATCCAAGAATCCATTATATTTTACATGTTCCCAGGAAGGATGTTTACAATCTTCTCTTTTTTCATGCTATACCATTATACAGAATTTGTTGGTGAATACTTTGAAGCTGAAACTTCAACATCAATTTGGTTATCTCCCCTTGAATGTCTTAAATATTTCAGTTTGAGGCAACTTTGAGTATTGCAACCTAAATTTTTTTGACAAATGCTCTCCTCCTGTCACAGTTGTTATACATGATCATTTGTTTATGCATGCTCTACAGACTAAGTCATGTGCCTACTTCAACTAAAAGTCCATCTGAACAATGAGTTCAGAGGATGCAGGACAGAGTTGGAGAACTACTTCTTGGCCTTTTCTAAGGATTTGCATGATCCCTTTCCTAGGGATTTATATGATTTCTACACTTCCAATTAACACCCTGAATCCTTGTAGAGTTTTTATAACCAAAGATCCAAACCTATGCCATCACAGTGGACACTGGCGATGGTCCTGTCCCTGTGCTAGGTTCCTGTGTTTTGATGAGAATGGTGAGGGCTAGAAAAATATACGGCAGTACCATGTTTTCACTTTGGCTCTTCTGGAAGACACTTACTTGTTGGCACTCACTTCAACCATGAACTGGAAATGGAGAGGCCGGTCTTTTTCTCCCTAGCATTTAAAATGATTGTCCACGAGCATCTCTCGGGAGAAAGCATGTTGGCCCAGCCTCTTCTCTGAGTATTGGGGGGTAACTGTGTCCTTTGCTTCAGAGGGAAATTTTATTTCTTTACAGTGCAATACATTTTTATCATAACAGCTAAAAGAAGTTAAAAACATGTTTGGTCTTTGTGAGTGAACAGACATAATAATTCATCCTGGGAGAGCTTTTTTGTTGTATAGGAAATCACTGTGAAATTAGGTCAAACTGAGATATTGGCCTTATTTTGCAGATATCCCATGCAAGGTGGGAAATGCTTTGGTGCCTTGCTTCCTACTTCTCTGTGCTGTATTTTCTGAGTGTGTGTCTGTGAGAGAGTGTGTGTGTGTATGTGTGTGTGCGCGCGCGCGCATGTGCGTGCTGAGATAAGTTTATTCCCCAAATTTAAAATTCAAATTAATTTATGAATGTAATCATATCGCACACATGGTAGAGGAACCATTTAATAGAACCCTACAGAAAATCATTTTGTTACATAAAGATGGACATTTTAATTTAATCTTGTCTTAGGGTTTTTGTATTATTATTTTTTTATGAACCGTTATTATTTAGCAGTAGTTACCATCAAGTCAGTTTGAGGAGCCTTGGAGGCTTTCCGAGGCTGGGCATCTTTATGGGGGCAGACGGACACATCTCTCTCCTGTGGAGCTGCTGCAGGGGGTTAAAAGGCGCCCCCTTTGGCGAACAGTTGAGCACTTAACCATTGCACCACTCAGTCTCAACTACTTAGCGGAACCCTTCTGAATCTGGGACTATGTCCTCAACACCTTGTGTCTTGGGGTAGTAATCTCGCCCTCTCCTTCCCTCCTAGGGGTCGTCACAACTGCAGACGTTCTGGATCGAGAGACAACGGGCTCGTACTGGCTGACAGTGTATGCCACAGATCGGGGTGTTGTTCCGCTCTATTCCACTATTGAGGTCTACATTGAAATTGAAGATGTGAACGATAATGCCCCACTGACCTCGGAGCCGATTTATTATCCTGTTGTCATGGAAAACTCTCCAAAGGACGTGTCTGTCATTCAGATCCAGGCGGAGGATCCTGACTCGAGTTCCAACGAAAAGCTGACGTACAGGATTACGAGTGGGAACCCTCAGAATTTTTTTGCCATCAACATCAAAACAGGTAAGAGAATGCTCCCTAGCCATTTGTAGTTGGCTGGCCAGCTTTTACATGCATCAACCGGACACTTGCTATACAAGCTTGTTTGTTTCATTGCCTGGAGAAAAGCCTCTTTCTGGGTGTCATGTCTGCAAAGGTCAGCCGGACTCGATCTGCTTTATAAGATTTGATTTCAGCTGACACTGGAGGGAAGTGATCTCAAGAGATCAGAGGCTTTCTCAGAAAAAAATAGGATTCACGTTAAATTTACTGTGGTCAGAGTAACAAAAAGGAGTCCCCAGGTCACTCAGAAACACAGCTTACCCTTTCCCGTTCTGGGGAGGGACGACCTGGCCCAGGCTGCATTGAATGGGGGACGCTGGCTGTGATCTCTACTTGGCCTCGGTCCAGTTTACCATATCGTCTCCATACAGCTTGAAGACAGGCCCTAGATTTTTTATATTGTCATTGAGATTTCTGGACTGACTGCCAGTGACAGGCCAGTATTCAGAACTTTCAGTGTCTCCATGTGGGCATAAAATATGCAACAACAAACATGAATTTTCTGTTTTTACTAAAAAAATTTTCTGGAGATTGCAATGAAAGTTGAATTAGCTAAATAAGAGTCAGAAAGGCCTAAGGAGGACTCAGACCTTGAAGGTTTGGTTGAATGTATTCTGAGACATACACCCGTGGTTGGATCTAGTTGGTTTGCAAAGGTTCTGCAGAACCGTGATCTCCTTTTGTGTTGAATTCCGTGAAGCAGTTGTTAAAATGGCACTTGTGAGCAGAGTTCTCTCTAAGGTGGGTGGCTGTGCTGCTGCCCGGGGTGAAAAGCACAAATTTACATTATTACCCTTTTCTAACTTTCACTTGTGCAACAAGGATGTTCTGATATATCATGTTGAAATAATAAACTACCTTTCAGCATATCTTTTTTTCTTATACTTAGAATGGTCATGAGTGAACTGGTCAACAGTGTTAAATCATTTGGCTCTCACCACTGACATACACACGCTGGAATTACTTTGAGAGTTGATTTTTGCGTTCATTGCTTTCCTGCTCTCTGCTTCTCTCAAGAGTCTGAGCAAGGGGTACAGAGAACATCGGGAGTTGTGAGGGATGCGGTTTTAATTAATTGAAGTTTCAAATCATGTATAAAAGGCCCCATGGATGACTTCCTTGGACAAGGGAGTTGATAGTGGTTAAAAAGCCAGGCTAGGTAGGTAGACACAGATTCAACTTTCCTAATGGACTATTGATATCTCTAATAGTTGTTTTGCTTGCTCTTTATTTGTTGAAATGAAAGCTGAGTCCCAAGCATTTTATAAAATCCCATTAACATAATTTGAAGAGAATGCCAAGGTGTCTTTTTTCCCTTAGCTCTTGATTTTCTCTAATGAAGATCAGATCATTTCGTTTGCTGACTTGTGCCTTTTGGATGCCAAGATGGTTGAATCAGGATTTGACCTGCATTTTATTAGAAAGCAGCGATGGTCATCAGCTGACAGTGTCTGTGAATTGTTGGAACTTGAAGGCAGGCGAGAGACAGAGAGTTGGAGCCGGCCCCTGGCCCAACCTTTCAGATCTTGTTGAGAGGGGGAGTTTCCTTGTATCTGAGCAACCTCTAGACTGTACTGGTAAGCTCTCCTGGCTCACTTTCCTGAATCACAAGAACTCCTAGAGTGTGATAACAGAGACTAGATGTCAGATACTTTAAGAAGCAGGAGGGAGGGGAAAGAAAACAAAGATTGTGTGTGTGTGTGTGTCTGTCCCTCTTCTCAAAATTCACTCTACAAAAGGCCTACTTTATTGCCAGTTTTTGATAACTAGAAGAAATCGGGAGAGAAGTATCACTTTTAGAAAAAAAGGGGCAGAAAGTAACAGTGGCATTCAGTGCGTGTTCTCCAGAGAGCTTTTTTAAAAGGCAGCGTGCACTGTGAGCAGTGAGAACGGCATCACCAAGTTCCTTCCTAGCAACTGTGCTTAGCTCCACGCACCCAGCCACCAGCGCCTGGAGGTGTGTCTGTGAACATTATGTTAGTGCTATGTCAAGCTTTCTGTTCGACGTGGTCTGATTTGGCAGCTTATTGGCAGGGAGCGGGGGTTTGGAATTCTCGAAAAAGTTTCCCATGCAGTTTCATGGTAATTGCTTCTTTGCTTCCCCCCATTCAGCATACAGAAGGTGTCACAGGGACACTGTACTTTCCTTAGTGGTGGGGGACTGTATATATCCCAGTAAAGGTGTTTCAGGGTGTGAAACACGTCCTCCACTAGATCCCATTTCTCTGAGCTTGATCCCTTGACCACTCGAGTCATTACATCATTGATAAGGAGCCCCGTGCCATCTCTTTAGTAGGTTAAATGATCCTGCGAAAGGGCCAGTGGAACTGTTCATTACTTAGGTGGAACTTTAAATGCAGACTGAATAAATGCCACAAGTTGCACAGCATATTATGCACAGAGGGGACCATGTAGACACTTGTACCTAAAGCTTTCTTTTTACAAGTTCTTAAAGTTCACACACGAATTGTCAGAGAGCCCCATGTCTTCACAATTTGGCCTACATTGCTTAGGAGCCTTCATCATACTCATGATTTCTCTGATCTTGCGCCCGTTTTCTTTTCCAAGATACTTTTCTAAATGCCAACGATGACGTTTTAGGCTAACGTCTCTAATTATCTAAAATGAATACATAGCATGCTTTGTTAATTCTGAGATGCCTTATAAGAAAGCACTGGATTTCCCCCCCCCTCTCCATTTATTCATTCATCTGACATTTATTATACCTACTAGTTTCCAAGCAAAGATCGAAAAAGTAAGGACATAAGCTTAACGTGCTGTCCCAGCCTTTCCATGACTCAAAGTTGTATGAAATTAGCAGAATGATTAATAAATACTTGTAGTGAAAGAGGGAAATACTTGATTTGGTAGAGGAGTCTCATATAGGATTAGAGATTATTACGGCCAGGGATGAGCTTTCTGGGGAAAGTGGCATTTAGGATTAGAAATCCTGGGTTTCAAAGCACTGCATTTCCTAACTGGGAAATACCTTAGACCAGAGCAGGAAAGTCATACAGCCCTGTATGACAAAGCCATACAACCCTGGCCTCACCAGCTTTATGACCTGAACAAGTGATGAAACCTCTCTGCATTGGGAGAAAGGCAGGAGTCCTCATGTGAAATGCTGAGCAGAGTTGGCTGGTACATAGAACAACCATTGTCCACTGCCCGACTCTTGGCCCCAGCAATAGTCATACTACATTCAGATTGTTTAGCTATGATTACAGGCACATGGTTTGATCTCTTGGGATCTCAGATTTTTATGGAAAAAAGAAAATGATCTTACTGCACAAGGTTTGATTGTAAAAGCTGAATGTCTTCATGTCTTGGAAAGCTGTTTGATAACCACAAAGCTCGATAAGAATTAGGTCATTGATGTGTCTATTTCCAATGAGATTCCTAGCACACACACCTGAAGGAATTTTTGTTCATCATCTTGCTTTAAGTACCGTTCTGAATTTGGGTCAACCTCCAGCCAACTCAACAAAAGCTCTCACAGAAGCTTTGCTATCGGGCATTCGTCCTGTCTCTCTGAGGTTATTTGTCTGAAATGAAATGGTCAGTGCAACTTTTTTCAGTCATGAAGCCAGAGGTGGAGCTGGCTGGAGTTTTTAGGAAAGATTTATGCATTCGATTTTTTTTCACCTTGATGTTGAGACTTGGTCAACTGACCTTTCATTCCTTCGTCTGCAGTAGAGCTTTGTTTTTGCAGTGAACTACATAATAAAGATGAAAATGAGGAATGCAAACTCACAGAATGACAATACCTATGGTGTGCTGCTTGCAGTACCTAATAGATGTCCGGGTCCTGGGAACAGGGGAAGCTTTCGCTGTGTTCTCTGCCCAAAGAGCAGTCCCTTTTCTTACGAGACGGAGATGCACATAGAAGCGGTGGTCTGTGGACCGACATCTTCTGTGATTTCTGCAGCTCAAGAAGAAACATGAACCTAAACCCTATGAAGTGCTTTCTTAGCCTGTACAGAGAACCTTTGATTCATCCCAGGCTGAACATGTGAATTAAATCAAATGCAGCCTCCTTTCATGCGTGCTTTCAACAGTTGGTAACCGGCAGCTTAGCGATGTGTTCTGTGGAGGACACAGGGTACTGTTCATTTTCCTATTTGGATGGGAAAGACTCTGAGTTTGTTCAAGCACTGGTAATAGACACCCAAGCCAGCCCTCACTGCTCAACTAGACTGACTTGGGAAAATGCAGGAGATAACATTTAATGATGGACACTTTTTTAGGACTTCAGATGTTTCTTTTAGTCAAGGAACAAGAGCTGAGTCGAAGTTGGAATTCTCACCTCTCGTGTGGAAGACTTGGTTTGATTCTGAGCCAGTATACCTCAAACACAGACATCATGCATACGTCAGTGGAGGTATGTGTGTTGATCTGATGTTGAACAGGTTTGAAGGGGACTTATAGACTAAGATGGGCTGTAAGAAAGGTCTGGAAATCTCATTTTTACAAACCAGTTAATGAAATTCCCGTGGACCACAAAATAAACGAGGTGCCATGAGTTGGGGCTGACTTGCAAGAACTGCTGACAACAACTGGTAAGAAAGGAGCAGTGGAGACCTAGTGCTATGCCTGTCGTTCATTCCAGGGACTCCCGTTCGATTCCAGCCAATGCGTCTCATGCAGTGCTACAACTCACTTGTCCATGGAGGCTTCAGTGTTGATCTATGTGCTACATATATTTTAGCAAAACATCCAGGGTAGAAAAGGCCTAGGGATCTACTTCCAAGATCAGCCCATGGGCATTTTATGGCTCACAGCGATCCACTTTACAGCAATCATGGGGATGGCACAAGACCCACATAGTGTTTCATTCTCCTGTGCATGGGATGGTCATGAATTGGCATTGTCAACTCGAGGACAGCAACATATCATGACCACACTTACCACAGCTCCAGCATGTAGTAGAGCCCTCAATATATGCTTGACATCATTATTTA